AATATGAGATGTATTCACCCTATTTCGGTCAAGGTGACGAAGGACTGGTAGAATACCGATGCGAGGTCGAAACTGCAGTCCACTGGTGCCTGGATGAGAACAACTTTTTGGGAAAGCAAGGCTATGTGAAATTGAATGGAAACATCAGGTCAACTCATATCATTGTGGGAACATTATACTACCACTCTTTCATCACCTTAAACGAAATTGGGTGAATACATCTCATCTTACTGACTTACTGGTAGTCTCGAAACAATACATAAATGCGAAAAATAAAGAAAAATGGTTTGATGAATATGTTTAGTAAACCGTTAAAGTACACAAAAAGAATAATCTAAGCCTAATTCGACCAAGATGTGAAACTCTCAATTTTTGCTTTATACCCGATTGTCAGAAATATCCAAGACCTCAAGTTGAGAAAACACAGGTGCAATTTCTGCTTTTTCTTGATCCATTTCTTCCTGCTGTCCACTATTTATCTCCAACAGTATACTGTCCTCCTCGGACGAGTGAATTCTTGAGTGCCCAACGGTAGCAGGCACGCAAGATGGTGTTCTACACTTTTCTTGCGTAGACGATGAATTTAGAGAAGTCCCAATCTTATGAGAGTTCTGGTTGGCCGACAAGGACTTGCCGGCGTAAAGGGTCTTGCGCACCAACCGACCGCTGGCAAACTCGTCAACTATACGTACCAGAGGTGCTAGACGATTGCGAGTCAGCAACTTCAGCTGATCACGACGGATTGAGCGTTGCAGGTTACCAGACCCTGCTATGCAACACAAACAGAGAGAAAGAAAAGGAGAACTATAAGTTATTTTACAAATATGAGTGAAAAACTAAGGGTTGAAGAAGAAGAGATTTGATAAAAGAAAAGTAAAAATGGCCAAAGAGATAAAAGAAAAACAGAGCGATGTTTAGAGAATGCATAAAATGTTGGTAAAAATGAAGGGATAAAAGCTGATAAAGTGTAGAAAATATTGAGAGTTTGATCGAAATAAGGGGCATTAATGAGCGATTAGCAAACATACCTGCGCATAAAATGCCCCCTTTAATCGTATCCAGTTGAGAAAGGCCACAGTTACCATGCTCCCATGCCAGTTTCGAGTCAGCACATGGAGTTATTGTCTCTTCTTTTATCAATTTATCTGCCATTAGATGCTCTTGACTGATGAGATCTCCACTAGTTCTGGCAGATGAGGCTGCCGAAGAGTTAGGTTTCACTGGGCCTGCGCTGCAAGAGGAAAAGATGCCGGGTGTATTAAAGCAGAAAAGTGCTCAAAAATAAAAAATGAATAGCTTTGCCAATAATACCTTACGTTTAAAAGATTTAACCACAAATGTGTCACTTCCATAGAAAGGTCTAACTGCTTTAAAGTCTATGCCCGTTAATTCTAAGGATATTTTGTCAAAGGCTCATAGAATCCAGAGTCAGTTAAAAATAACTTTATTTATTATTGTAATATGGTCTAAATTCTGAATTTAGACACACACAAGTAGTTCCTAATCAGTTTTCTACATTCATTCCTCCTATTCAGGACGTTTGTTGCTTTGTTGATTTCTATAGACTCCCTAATCTTACGCAATGACATATAGTCCCTGTAACCCGCAAACCATTGGACCCGTTTATTAAGTATCCTGTATTGGCCAAATGTGTTCAGCTAGCTCAGATTTATGGACCCTTAAACCTTGTAAGCGATTTTGTGTCCGCATAGTCTCTTTTGAATGGGTCGGTAGGTCTCTCCCACATAGACCTTAACACATGAGCACAAAGCCGTGTAGCAATCTGATCTAGAAAAAGAGTTCGAAAATCCTCTAAACGAAGGTACGAAGAAAGTGTTAATTTTCCTTATATATATATATTGTTTTTGTGTTCAACGTCCTAAGTAGATAAACCAAGCAAAAGCAAACTAAGAGCAAGGCATAATTAGGAAACGAATATAATGGTCCAGTTGCCTATCCCGACCTAGATACCAAACTCCCCTCATCTTGTTTACGACAATTAGAGATTCATATCACAATATATCACCTAGAAATTCTCCGAAATCTAGTTTTTCCTCATATCTATGTCTTTAAATTATAATGGAAAGGTTTTTAAGATTTTCTATTCTGTTAAGTAATTGTAATTTTTATAGAATATATTTTTTCGTAGGGTTT